TCATTCAGAAAATGCTCTGTTGCCAGAAAAAAGCCCAAAGCACCACCTGACCCAGTTATAACTGCCGTGCAAGGAGAGATCTCAGGTGGACATGGCACCAGCTCTTTCCAGGCCCCTGCCCATGGCCCATGGAGGGGTGGGATACCTGGCTGGAGCAGCTCCAGCTAAGTGACAGCAATTCTCTATCAGCCGGGCTGAGAAGCCTGGGGCAGAAGCAGGTCAGATGTGACTGGCCTGTGGCCCAGTCCAAGTGCCCCACAGCCCTGCTAAGAGCTCTGGCTTCTTTCTGGCTGGTCAAGGCCAAAGGCCACTGTGGGGATCTTGCAGAGAAGTGCAAAGCAACAGGGCACAGCAGGAAAAAATCCTGGGCTCTGGAGCTGGCAGGCCTGAGCTGGGCACTAAGTCTCCTGCTCATCGGCTGAACTGCTATGCAAAAGTCACTCCACTTTCCAGAGCTCAACCCCGCTCTCCCCCTGGCTCCACGGCACCTAGTACAGTGAGAACCTGTCTCTAGTCCCATTTCATGAACAAAATCAAGGTGAATATATGTCTCCCCAACCTCCCTGTCTGCAGCTACTAACACCTTCATCTCCTCTCCTCCTGTCCTTGCCCTCTCTTCAAACCATCTCCACCGCCTGAATTATTTCATTTGGTGGCATGGCCCCACCTGTCCCCCAAGCTACCTCTCTCTATCCCTTGGACCTAATCGGGCACCATGTCCTACCAGTTTGACATGTGAGATCTGTCTTTCACTGTCCTCCCACCTCTCTGCCACCATCCCTATTCAGACTCCTGTCTGCTCCTGCTAGACTAACTCCTAAAAGGGATTTCAAACTCAGTGTCTCTAAACCCAGCTTCATCTTATTCTTCCTAGTCACTTCCCTTCCTTGAGTCTGCCTGTTTCTGTTCACGGTGACATGAGTCTGGCCATCGAGTTGTTCAGGACTGTTCTCTCTCCTGTGATTCTTTCCCCTTATATAAATGTCTTGCTCTTAAAAAATTTGTTTTTGTAGAGATGGGATCTCACTATATTGCCCAGGATGGTCTTGAACTCCTGGCCTTGAGCGATCCTCCCGCCTTGGCCTCACAACCTGTTGGGGTTACAGATGTGAGCCATCATACCCAGCCACAGATGTCTCTTTGACAAGTACCTGGATCCAGTCACTTCTGAGTGTTCTGCTAATCTTTCCTTCCCCTGGTACAGACAAAATATCAACCACGTGCCAGGCACAGAGTAAAGCATCAGGCACACAAAATAAAGAAGTCCCAGTCCTGATCCTCAGCGGTTCAGCCATTACAGGGCCACCTTGGTACTGCAATAGCCTATGACTGGTTTCTCCTTGTCTCTTCCCCCAGCCTCTCGACCAGGGTAAGCAGTGAACTAAAACTGCTCAGTAGCCACCCCGGCCTAGCCGCAGGATAACTCCCAAGTCCTCACCCAGTGGACACCTGAGCACTCCTGCCACAACTGTCCACTTCAGCCTTTCTGCCCCTAAAGACCCCACGTGGCTCTCTGAACACACTTCGATGTTCCCACCTCTGGGCTTTGCTGTGTCCTACAAAGCCCCACCCTACTATCTTTGCCTGGCTAGCTCCTCTCCACCTGTCCTGCCTCCTCTCCACCAGGAAGCATTCTGGGATCTCTTGTGCCCACCCAGGTCCCTTTGCTGGGCTTCCAGATCAGTCAGGACAAAACTCTCACCGCACTCACCAGAGTGGGCTGACCTATACACGTCATGCACACTCTAGAGCCGAGCGGGGGCCCAGGACACAGTATCAGAGCAGGTGTGTAAGGGAAAGTCGTTCAGAGAAGGGAGCGGGCCTCACTTCCCTCCCACGGGCTGACTTCCGTCAGTCTTCCCCTGACCCACAGCTCGGGTCAGCCGTGCCGCCTAGCTACTGCCACCTAGGGGCGCCAGCCGGGTGCTGTGCTTCTCTCACCATTCAGCCTTGAATTCGATTCAATAAACTGAACGGGATAGAAACACTAAGGAGGGAGCAGTTGATTCCGGTGGGGGTGGAGGAAGGGTGGCCATCAGACGAGGCTTCAAACAGCCAGTGAGCTCTGGGCTGAGCCATGGAGCATGAGCAACCGATATCCAAGTGGAAGAGATCTGTCTCCTGGTGGAGGCTGCAACCAGCAGCAAGGGTTAGAGTTTGGGGTCTATGTCCAGGGACAGGGAGGGTTAGGGTGTGAAGGAACTGGCACCCCAAACTAAGGGCTTCTAGCTTTATGTTTTAAGCCACCAAAGAGGTCAAGAAAACGTGTCTTTTTTCTGCCCAAAGACTTTAAACCAGAAAGGACACATGAGATGTGCATTTACAGAAGAAAACTCCTGCAGGAGTGTAGAAAGAGGGAAGAGATGGGAAGCAGAGAGTGAGAGAGGCAAGAAAGCACGAGGAGGCCAGTGTTTTCATAATTCTCTCATTTCTTTTACTTGAAATAGCATTAAGGGCTGGGCATGGTGGCTCACGCCTGTAATCCCAGCACTTTGGGAGGCCAAGGTGGGTGGATCACCTGAGGTCAGGAGTTCGAGACCAGCCTGCCCAACATGGTGAAACCCCATCTCTACTAAAAATACAAAAAGTTAGTCGGGCATGGTGGCGGGCGCCTGTAATCCCAGCTCCTCAGGAGGCTGAGGCAGGAGAATTGCTCGAACCCAGGAGGCAGAGGTTGCAAATGCAGTGAGCCCAGATGGCGCCACTGCACTCCAGCCTGGGTGACAAGAGTGAAACTCCATCTCAAAAAAAATAAAAAGAAAAAGAAATAGCACCATGATCTCAGACTCAATACATCCGAACTGAAACTCTGCCTGTCAAAACCAATGTGTCAACATGAACAGTATTATTTCCTTCCACATTTGGAGACGTTCATATATCTCAGACTCTTTGTGGGCTTTGAAGTTGCAAAATTTCATAATACATCCCAGCACAGAACTTTGCATACAGAAGGTATTCGATGACAACTGAGTGGTGTGCCCTGGAGCCTTGAGATTTTAGGAGCAGCACAACCCGGTAGTTACGAATAAGGGTTTTTAATCAAAGGGCCCTGGCTCAGCCACGTTAGTGCATGAGACTGGTCATATCAAGCAACCCATCTAAGCCTCAGTTTCTTCATCTCTAAAATGGAAATTAATGGAAATTGTAACATCACCTGCCTCAAGGACTGGAGACGAACGTCCACAAAGTGTCAAGCACATAGTAAATCCTCAATAAAAACTGGTGGTTATGTGTAACATTTATTCAGTGCCTACCAGGCACAGACCACGGCAATGCAACGGGTTTCTCACACCCTTCAATGTGCACCACACTTTTGTCCTTCCCATTTTACAGACAAGAAAACTAAGAGGCAACAGAGTCGCGCATGTTTGAGGTCTTGGAAACATCTTCCAGGGGGCCCGTAATTCCAGCTACTCGGGAGGTTGAGGCAGGAGAATCGCCTCAGATTGGGGCTACAGGAACTTCTGCAGGAAGGTTATTTAGTTCAGTGATGGTTCTCACCTGTGTGTGTGCGCGAGCGCGGAGGAGACCGCGACCACCCGCCCCCCCATCCCCCCATCACCCACCCCCCGCCACACACACCCCCCACGTAACTCCGGACATCTGGCACTGTTTGGAGATATTGTTGATCCTCACGATTTGGGGGATGGGGATACTGCTGGCATCTAGTGGGTAGAGGCCAGAAATACTGCTCAACTTCCTAAATTGCACAGGGAAGCCCCCCCACCACACACAACCAAAAACTATCTGACCCCAAACATCAGTAGCACCAACGTTAAGAAACCTCTGCCTAGCCAGATCGTTCTCCTGATCTTCCTACTTCTGGAGCACTGGCCATCCGGATCCCAGATGAACACTTTCTAGCAAGGGGGCTCAGTCCCGCCGCGGGAAGCCCGTGTAGAAGTTGAGCAGAAGTTCTCCTTCTCAACCTGCCCTGCACACAGCAGGGACCAAAACCCATTTTAACAAGCCCCGCAACCCAGAGCACCGGAAAAGGAAGAAAGAGCATCCATCCTCCATTGTTCAACTCCGGGCAGCTTGTATCTCCAAGACACACACATATTTCACAAATCCTAACGTCCCACGCCCTACAAACAGCTTTGTTAGAGATGGCGCTCAAAAAAAAAAAAAAAATAGATGCAGTTTAGATCCCCACCCCCCCGGACTCCCAGTGTGCCTACTGAAGGGTTGCATGCTTCTCAAAGGACCTCGCACCGGCCACGGTGCTCTGACAACGACCACAAAAGAATCTGTGGGATTTCCCGGGGGAGCGAGCCCGTGGGCCTTGACCTCCGCGCGCTCAAAGCGCTCCCCGCGCTCCCCCGCCGCTGGCCTCACTCTCCCGCCCCCGGAGCCCGGGCTTCCAAGACGACCGGGGCCCCGGCGGTGCAGCCCGGCCCCCTGGCGCGTGCCCACGCCGTGTCCCCCTGGCCCGTCCCTCGAGGTGCCCGAGGAATCCAGCCCCGGGGCCTGTGGCCGGCGCCCATATCGGTCCGCCCCGGCCTGACTGCCACGGTCCCCATGCGCGTCCCCTCCCTCGGTCCGGCGCGGCCTGGGCCTCAGTCGGTGCAGGCCCGCGGGCGCCCAGCGGCCAGGCCAGGCGAGCTCAGGCCTGCCGCGGCCTACCCCGTCGGACGCCGCCGAAGGCTCCCCACCGCCTCACCTGGACGCGGGCGGGCTGGCCCGGGGCTGCTCCGGGGCGGGCGGGCGGCGGCGGCGGCGCGGCGCTAACGGCTCCGCTCGGCCTCGGTAGCGGTGGCGGCGGTGGCGGAGACGGCGACGGCGACGGCGGCAGCGGCTCCTCCTCAGCGCGCACGACCCGCTCCGGCCCGCGGCCCGGACACGCCCCCCCGGCGCGCGCGCCCATTGGTCGGCATCCGCCATGGCGTGCTGCTCATTGGTCAGCGTAGCTGTCGCGGCGCCCCCAGGCGAGCGGGGGAGGCGGGACTTCCGGTCGGCGCCGCCTGCGAAGGACTCCGCAACCGGCGGAGACGCGGGCGGCCAGCTATGGCCGCGGAGGGGGCGAGCTGGGGTCTGGACCTTGGAGGCTGACAGAAGGCGGTGACTGAGAGGCGCCTCTAGTCGAGCGCTCGCCGTGTGTTCCGCACCTACCTTTACTGCCGCCGCCTCCCATGAAGGTAGGAACGGTCAGCACGCCGAGGTTACGGGGACAGGACCTGTGTTCGAATCCCGGCCCAGATGTTTCTGCACTACGTGCCGTTAAGCAGGTGCTGACGTCATCTCGCCGGGCCTCAGTTTCCTTCTCTGGTGTACTGAGGAGGCGGGGCATGGAACGTGGTCAGCTTCACATTGCTCTTTGAGCAAGCCAGTTTCTGAAAGCTCAGCCTCTTATTCATTAAAATGTCATTGAGCGCCTACTGTGTGTCAGTCACTGTATGGGCAGTGAGCAGAAAAAAAAATACCTGGCCTTATTGGGCTAACATTCTAAGCCAGCGCTGGCTTTAGTAGAAATAGATGCAAGATACATGTCTAATTTTTTTTATAGAGATGAGGTCTGGCTCTGTTGCCCAGGCTGGTCTTGAACTCCTAGACTCAAGTGATTCTCCTGCCTCTGCCTCCCAAAGAGCTAGGATTACAGGTGTAACTGCACTATGCCTATTTTTTCCTTTTCTTCCACACCACCCTTTTTTTTTTTTTTTGAGACAGGATCTCACTCTTGCCCAGACTGGAGTGCAATGGTGTGATCATGGCTCGCTGCAGCCTCAACTTCCCTAGCTCAGGCAATCCTCCAACTTCAGCTTCCTGAGTAGCTGTGACTACAGGACATGTCACCATGCCTAGCTAATTTTTTATTTCTTGTAGAGATGAGGTCTTGCTATGTTGCCTAAGCTGGTTTCAAACATCTAGACTTAAGCCATTCTCCTGCTTTAGCCTCCCAAAGTGTTGGGATTACAGGCGTGAGCCATGGTGCTCAGCCTATTTATTTTTTTAATTATATGTTTTTAGAAAAGTTTATTAGAGATTAGGTCTCACTGTGTTGCCCAGGCTGGAGTGCAGTGGTTCTTCACAGGCCCAGTCATCCCACAGGATTAACTCCTGACCTCAACTGATCCTCTTGCCTCAGGCTCCCAAGTAGCTGGGACTATAGGCACAGGCCACCACACCTAGCTCACATGGGTAATTGTTAAATTTTTTTTTTTTTTAGATGGAGTTTTGCTATTGTTGCCCAGGCTGGAGTGCAGTGGTGCAATCTCAGCTCACTGCAACCTCCGTCTCCCTGTTTCAAGTGATTCTCCCGTCTCTGCCTCCCGAGTAGCTGGCATTACAGGCATGTGCCACCACACCTGGCTAATTTTGTATTTTTGGTAGAGACAGGGCTTCTCCATGCTGGTCAAGCTGGTCTCGAACTCCGGACTTCAGGTGATCCACCTGCCTTGGACTCCCAAAGTGTTGGGATTACAGGAGCGAGCCACCACGCCCGGCCATAATTGTTAAATTTTAAAGTAGCCAGCATTCTGGGTCATCACCGTGCAGTAGAAGTATAAGCCAGCCACAGATTGGTCAGTGAGGTATGTAATTTAAATTGATTAAATTGTTAGCCTTGTTTAAAATGAAAATAAAATAAAAAACAGGTAATGTTAATTGTAATAATGTGTTTTATTTATTTACTTTTTGGCAGAGTCTCGCTCTGTTGCCAAGGCTGGAGTGCAGTGGCGGGTTCTTGGCTCATGAAAACCTCTGCCTCCCTTGTTCAAGAGATTCTCCTGGCTCAACCTCCCAAGTAGCTGGGATTACAGGCGCCTGCCACCACACCCCTCTAATAATTTTTTTTTTTAGATGAATCTCGATCTGTCTTGCCCAGGCTGGAGTGCAGTGTCATGATCTCAGATCACTGCAATCTCTACCTCCCACGTTCAAAGCAATTCTGCCTCAGCCTGCCCAAGTAGCTGGGATTACAGGCACAAGCCACCATGCCTGGCTAACTTTTGTATTTTTAGTAGAGATGGGGTTTTACCATGTTGGCCAGGCTCCTCTTGAACTCCTGACCTCAGGTGATCTGCCTGCCTTGGCCTCCCTCCCAAAGTGCTGAGATTACAGGCGTGAGCCACCTCACCCAGCCTAATTTTTGTGTTTTTAGTAGAGATGAGGTTTCACCATGTTGGCAAGGCTGTCCTGCATGCTGGCTGTTTGTTTGTTTGTTTGTTTTGAGATCGAGTCTCACTCTGTTGCCCAGGCTGGAGTGCAGTGGTGCCATCTTGGCTCACTGCAACCTCCACCTCCTGGGTTCACATGATTCTCCTGCCTCCGCTTCTTGAGTAGCTGGGATTACAGACGTGCCACCGTGCCCAGCTAATTTTCTGTGTTTTCAGTAGAAACAGTCATTATGTTGCTCAGGCTGGCCTCAAACTCCTGACCTCAAATGATCAACCTGCCTTGGCCTCCCAAAGTGCTGGGATTACAGATGTGAGCCACCACACCTGACCCCTGCATGCTTTTGAAATCCAGTATGTATTTTATACTCCACAGCGAGTGCATCTCAAGTTGGACCGGCTACATTTCAAGGGCTAAACTATCACATGTTGCCAGTGGCTGCTGCATTAGACCGTGCCACGCTGGATGGTGAGTCAGAAGGGAAACCAAGTGGATTCCATGTCAAGTGTTGAACAGGCTAAGAAGAAAAGTAAATTAGGGAAAGAGCTTGGGGAATGTTGGAGTTGCTGTTTGAAAGAGGATGGTTGGGATGGTTGAAGAGCTGTCATTTGCAGTTGGACCCAAAGGAGTTGAGAGCACTGAACAAATAGTTACATTCTTCATTGTCTGGTGCAGTGTCATCCAGAAGAACTTCCCACGATAATGAGCATGTTCTGTATCACACCGTCCAATTCAGTAGCCCCTGGGTCCACAGGGTTTTCTTTTCTTTTTTCTTTTTGAGACAAAGTCTCAGTTGCTCTGTCACCCAGGCTGGAGTGTAGTGGAATGATCTTAGCTCGTTGCAACCTCTGTCTCCTGTGTTCAAGCGATTCTCCTGCCTTAGCCTCCCGAGTAGCTGGGACTACAAGCATGCACCACCATGCCCAGCTAATTTTTATATTTTTATTTTCATTTTTTATTATTATTACTTTTTGAGATGGAGTCTTTCACTGTTGCCCAGGCTAGAGTGCAGTGGTGTGATATCGACTCACTGCAACCTCTGCCTCCCGGGTTCAAGCAACTCTTATGTCTTAGCTTCCTGAGTAGCTGGGACTACAGGTGCCTGTCATCATGCCTAGCTAATTTTTTTGTATTTTTAGCAGAGACAGAGTTTCCCCATGTTGGCCAGGCTGGTCTTGAACTCACAACCTCAGGTGATCCACCTCGGTTTCCCAAAGTGCTGGGATTACAGGCATGAGCCACCACACCTGGCTTCCGTGTGTGTGTGTGTGTTTTATGTGTTTTTGTTTTTTTTTTTTGTACTTGACACATGGCTGGCACCACTAAAGAACTGACTTTCTGGCCAGACAACAGTGGCTCATGCCTGTAATCTCAAGCACTTTGTGAGGCCGAGGTGGGAGGATCACTTGACACCAGGAGTTCGAGACTTTAGTGAGTTGTGATCATGCGATAACACTTCAACCTGGGCAACAGAGCAAAATCCCATGTCTTAAAAAAAAAAAAAAAAAAAAAAGGCTGGGCACAGTGGCTCACACCTGTAATCACAGCACTTTGGGAGACCAGGCGGATGGATCACAAGGTCAGGAGTTCAAGACCACCCTGGCCAACATGGTGAAACCCCGTTTCTACCAAAAGTACAAAAATTAGCTGGGCATGGTGGTGGGCACCTATAATCCCAGCTGCTTGGGAGGCTGAGGCAGGAGAATTGCTTGAACCTGGGAGGTGGGTTGCAGTGAGCTGAGATTGCACCACTGCACTCCAGCCTGGTGATAGAGAGAGATTTCATCTCAAAAAAAAAAAAAAGTGACTGTAATTTTTTAATTAATTCAAATTTAAATTTAAATAACCACATAGGGCTAGTGGCTCCTGTAGTGGATGGCATAGGATTAGTACTGTGGTAAGCACTCTGAATTGAATGGGTCCATGGCAAACACTTTATGGACATCCCCCTGTGAAATTCAAGAAATAGCTCTGTGACATAGGAGTTGTAATCATTGTTGCCACAATGGAAAATAAGATACTTCATCCATTCATCTATAGTATTGTTGATAGACTTTATTTTTTAAGCTGGGCACTGTGGCTCATGCATATAATCCCAACACTTTGAGAGGCTGAGGTAGGCAGATCACTTGAGGTCAGGAGTTCCAGACCAGCCTGGCCAACATGGTAAAACCCCGACTCTTCTAAAAATACAAAAATTAGTCGGGCATGGTGGTGGGCACCTATTTGGGAAGCTGATCACACCTACCTGGGAGTTTAAGACCAGTCCTGGTAATGTAGCAAGACCCCCATTTCTAGTAAAAATTCTAAAAATTGGCTGGGTGTGGTGACATACCTATGCTCCCAGCTACTGAGGAGGCTCAGGTGAGAGAACTGGTTGAGCCTGGGAGGTCAAGGCTACAGTGAGCCATGATTGTACCATTGCCCTCCATTCTGGGTGACAAAGTATGAAAAGAAAAAAGAAAGAAAGAAGAAATAAGAAAATCTAAATTTTAGATTTGCAGAAATACTGCCAAAGTAGCACTAGAGTGTTACCAGGCCTGCTGCAGTGGCAGGTACTTATAATCTCAGCTACTTAGAGGCTAAGGTAGGAGGATCTCTAGAGTCTGGGTACCATAGCCAGACTCTGCCCTTTTCTTCTTTTTTTTAGAAACTGAGTCTTACTCTGTCGCCCAGGCTGGAGTGCAATGGTGTGATCTTGGCTTACTGCAACCTTCTGGATTCAAGCGGTTCTCCAGCCTCAGCCCCAGCCTCCTGAATAGCTGGGATTACAAGCACCTACCACCATACCTGGCTAAGTTTTGTATTTTTAGTAGAGACAGGGTTTCACTATATTGGCCAGTCTGGTCTCAAACTCCTGACCTCAGGTGATTAACCTGCCTTGGCCTCCAAAGTGCTGGGATTATAGGCATTAGCCACCAGACCCTGTGTTAAAAACAAACAAGCAAAAAACAGAGTTACCATTATTCCCTAATAGTAACATATTTTAATTACAAATTTTTAACATATTAGTAACAAATTAATATAATGTAATGGACCAATACTGATACTTTGCTATAATTTAATGGACCTATACTGATACTTTGCTGTTAAGTAAAGGTCATAGTTTATTTAGTCTTCCTTTGTGTTTCCCTAATATCTTTTTTCTCTTCCAGGATCCCACCCAGCAGACCATCTCACTTTTTTTTTTTTTCTTTTTTTTTGAGATGGAGTCTCACTCTGTCACCCAGGCTGGAGTGCAGTAGTGCGATCTCAGGGGTGCTGTCTGTTCACTGCAACCTTCACCTCCTGGGTTCAAGTGATTCTCCTGCCTCAGCCTTCCAAGTAGCTGGGATTGTAGGCATGCACCATTATGCCTCCCTAAATTTTGTATTTTTAGTAGAGACACAGTTTCGCCATGTTGGCCAGGTCTTGAATTCCTGACCTCAAGTGATCCACCTGCCTCGGCCTCCTAAAGTGCTGGGATTACAGGTGTGAGCCACCGTGCCTGGCCAGTCCATCTCACTTTCAGGGATCTTGTTAGGCTCTTCTTGGCTGTGACAGATTCTCAGACTTCCCTTGTTTTTGATGACCTTGACAGTTTTGAGGAGTGCCAGCCAGTCAAATATTTTGGTACAGTGTCCATCCCTCTATTGGAATTTATCTGGTGTTTTTTTTGTAAGAATGGGATGATGGGTTATTGGCACCAAGATCAACGAAGTAAAGTGCTGTTTTCATCACACCATATCAAGGGTACATCCTATCAACTTCATTATTTATTTCTTTAAAGAGACAGGGTCCTGGCTGGGCATGGTGGCTCATGCCTGTAATCCTAGCACTTTGGGAGACAGAGGTGTGTGGATCTGTTTAGGTGAGAAATTTGAAACCAGCTTGGCCAACATGGTAAAACCTAGTCTCTACTAAAAAAGTACAAAAATTAGCTGAATGTGGTGATGCACACCTGTAATCCTAGCCACTCTGGAGGCTGAGGCATGAGAATTGCTTGAACCTGGGAGGTGGAGTTGTAGTGGGAGGCAGGGGTTGTAGTGAACCAAGATTGCACCACTGCACTGCAGCCTGGGGATTATGTGTGCACCACCATGCTCAGCTAATTTTGTATTTTGTAGTAGAGACAGGGTTTCACCATGTTGGCCAGGCTGGTCTTGAACTCCTGACCTCAGCTGATCTACCCGCCTCGGCCTCCCTAAGTGCTGGGATTACAGACATGAGCCACCATGCCCAACCCTCCTTTTCATTTTGGATATTGTGGAAGGAAGTCACTATGTGTAACTCATACCTATGGTATGGGAGGTTATACTCCATTTCCTTAAGGATGGATTGTCTGTGTAATTTTTTTTTTTTAATTTTAGAGACAGAGTCTTGCTCTGTTGCCCAGGCTGGAGTGCATGGCTCACCGCAGCCTCAACTTCCTGAGCTGAAGAGATCCTTCTGCCTCAGCCTCTCTAGTAGCTAGAACTACAGGTGCGTACCATCACACCTGGCTACTTTTTGTATTTTTTTGTAGAGATGGGATCTCACTGTGTTGCTCAGGCTAGTCTGGAACTCCTGGCCTCAAGCAGTCCAAGCCTTGGCCTCCCAAAGTGCTGGGGTTACAGGTATGCATCACTGCATCTGGCCCTACATAAATTATTATTTTTTAAGCTTGCCCACAGCTGAAACAAGTTTTCTAGAATCCTGCATGGGAGATTTATCTCACTCTCCCCCATTTATTGAATTCTATCAGCATGGACTGCTGGATATTTATTTTATGCTTTAGATTATAACCCAATACTCCTTTATTTTGTCTGTCAGATTGTCCCAGCTTTGGCCATCAACCACTCTAATTTGGCTTCTGTGGCCCTTTGACATAGTCCCATCAATGTGTTTTTCAGAGTTTTGTTTGTTGGTTTGTTTTATTTGGAGCAGTTCCTTACTTTGTGGCAGCACAAAATGCTCCAGGCCTGTCTTGTATATTTCTGGCCTTTATTCTAGTAGCAGCCATTTTTCCAAGGGGCTGTGGTTCCTTTTCATAGAGAACGGTGTGGGAAGGCAACATCTGTCACACCAAGAGTGTTCATGGCTACTGGAATGTCATTTCTTTAGATATTTTGATTACCAATAGATTTTTTTTTTTTGAGACAGAGTCTCACTCTGTTGCCCAGGCTGGAGTGCAGTGGTGCCGTCTTGGCTCACTGCAGCCTTAGCCTCCTGGGCTCAAGCCATCTTCCCACCTCAGCGTCCCGAGTAGCTGGGACTACAGGCGCACACCACCATACCCAGCTAAATTTTTGTATTTTTTGTAGAGTCAGGGTTTTAGCATGTTGCCCAGCCTGGTCTAAAACTCCTGAGCTCAAGTGATCCACCCACCTTGGTCTTTTCAAGTGCTAGGATTACAGGCGTGAGCCACCAAACCCACATCAATAGCTTTTTTTCTTTTCTTTCTGTTTTTTAGAGAGGGTCTGCATTCACATCATTTATTCTTTCTGAGT